AGGTATTGATTCCAGCTTCCAATAAGTTGACCCCAAGTTGAAGGCCGCTGTGTGTGTTTCGCCTCGAAACTTCCGGTGAGCATTGTTGACAGTGGTTGCTGCGAAAGCAAGGTGGTGGATGCTGGCCGAAACTCTGCGTTTTAAGTGACAAGTGATAGGTTGGTCCAGCATGCAACAGGAGAACAGCCTCCGACTGATAATAATTATGGTGGGCTGCCATGTCACTGTAGATAGCTAAGAAGGAAATTAATTGTGGTCTGAGGCCATATCACGGCGTGCCTTTGACGTTCACCACTTTGGTGAAACCAACGAGCACGGGTATGGTGGGGACAAACCTCAAACCATAATCTGGCCCAACTGGGATTCCGACCCACAATTAGAGTTTTCCCGCCACTAGTTGGCCACGTGATACACGCCGTCTCCTTATTTCTCTGGCTTGGTAGTTGATATACTGCAGGTTCATCAAACGTGATTAGTATTACAGTGCTCTCTGCTGGATGTCAAGCAATATCACACTAAATATACATAAAGGCGAGAATATCCCCGTGAAGATTCGGGGTAGAATAGGTCTTCAGCAATCCATGCTTGTCGTAGAAAGAGATTTGCTTGTCGTACGAGGCGACTAACAGGATCGGGTGGTCAGACTCGCTGACTTGGCTGATGCATGTCATCGTATCCCAGTTACTTGGATCGACGCTCATGATATCAATCACTGGCTTGTCTGGTCCTGACTCGATTATTTACAGACCACCGTCATATAGCTGGCATATTGCTGAATGCGGAGTTAAACAACAAATAAACAAACAAACAAAGGTGAGATTTGGGGTTTTAGAGAATAAAACGTGCCAGTGGACTATGAAAAGACTATCAAATAAAAAAGAGTATTAATAAAGATCATCAATTGCAATTTGGGTAATTTGAAGGTTCAGATTTTGTGGAATTATTAGATAATTAGATAGAATGTCCACATAAGTAAAACACACACGAACTATTCGTTTCTGACCCAAAGATTCTAAAGGCACAGGCTTCTACTTCAGACCATTGAAATATCCAAAACAAGACGTCTGGTATACCGACAATCCTATGGGTACTCATCCATTGGGAAACACAATGGCACTTCAGTGGTTCCTAAACCAATCATTCCATGAGGGTAACAGTTGCTACTGTCGAACTCAATCCAAAATGTTTGATGTTATCACCTTGTGAACTATACTGTTTTCTTTTAATTAGCGTAGCCTATCCCTGTGATTTCTGAAAACTTCGAAGGAAATGGAGGAAAAGATGGGCAACTTAGTTCGAAGGTAGGTTCCCTGTCCCCCTTTGCACCCCGTAAAAGCGATTTCCACCCCCCCAAGCCCACCCCAACCCCCATGGCGTAAGTATCGGACATATTTCGACTTTGTGAAATTGCAGGAGATTCAAAACGGGACCCTAGATGCTGACTGTGACGTTGTGCAAGGCTTCATGCTTTAAGCTTTAAACGCATTGGTGTGTGTGTGTGTGTGTGTGTGTGTGTGTGTTTGTGTGTGTTTGTGTGTGTGTGTGTGTGTGTGTGTGTGTGTGTGTGTGTGTGTGTGTGTGTGTGTGTGTGTGTGTTTGTGTGTGTGTGTGTGTATGTGTGTGTTCTAGTAGAACTGGTCGGTTCGGAGTCATTATACTGCGTCTGAGAGGGGTATTCATGCTAACCATGGTATCTCAGTTCGCTAGTACTATAAAATCGACATCAGTACAAGCAGCCACTCACACACAGTCGCTCGGCATTGCAGGGACACAGATTGTGACACATATTATTTACTTCTTCTGTCAAGTTTAGAAGAGGTCCCCTTGTACCCGATGCAAAAATCACCTGCTAAAGTTGTGACTTGAATCACTTGCTTGACCCTGGCAATGGACGATGCTGATATTGTCAACCACTGGTTTGTCTGGTCCAGACTCGATCAGTTACACGCTGCCGTCATATAAAATGAATACTGATGAATGCAGAGTTACACAACATGCACAAGTTCAATCAATATTTATTCATGATTCTGAAGGTGACCATTTGACTTGGATGGACACAGGTGGACACGACAATAAGTGAGTGAGTGAGTGAGTGAGTGAGTTTGGTTTAACGCCGATTTTAACAGTATTCCAGTTATATCGCGGCGTGTCAGCTGAACGTGGGAGGAAAGCCCGAAGTGATGCAGGTCTCAGACGTTTACAACTTCGGTGAAACCCACGAGCACGGGTATGGTGCTGACAAACCTAAAAACATAATCGGGGCGAACCTGGATTCGAACCCACAATCAGAGGTTTCTTGGGTGCCCAAGGGACGCAACTCTGCACAGCGAATCGCGGCGCCTTAGACGACTTGGCCACCCGTGCCCCCACGACAATAGGACTGCATCGATATGCTCAAATCCATGACACGACATAATTCTCATCATTAATCCCTATTGGGATTCTGCCAACCTATGCTTGTCGTAAGAGGCGACTAAATTGGATCGGGTACATGGTCAGGTTGATGGCGTATCAATGTATCCGTGCGGCGTGGATCGTTGCCCAAATGCACAATATCAATTCAGACTCGATTACTTACCATCTCCCCGTGGCAAGGGAGTTCACTGACTGCAAATGTACAGTTTCCACTCTTGCCGAACTAGGCTGGAATTTCCGGGCTCGACTGTAGCGCTACCAGTGGCTATTACGTGTTATATCCCTTCTACATTCCCCTATTGTCCAAACAGATTCCACCTCTCATATCACTTACATTTGCTTCAAATAAAATGGCGTCGCCCAGTAAAGACGATCTGATCGATTGTCAAGATCTATATTGTAATAAAACTAGTCTTACTTCGTGAAGGGCATCAAATCACGTGAGCACCGTGATTAAAACCATGAAAGGAGTTTGAAACTATCTCTTGACGCTTTGTTGTCAGTACCCATGGTTTGCAAATCCTGCAATCGAGCGAAATTTGCACAGCAGTTAACGAACAGGAAGTCGATTTCGTTCCGCAGTTTTGATTGGACTATGCAAAGACTCGTTAATCCAGCCAAAATATAAATCCATAATTCCAGCCTTGTTCGGCAAATGCTGGAAACTGGACTTTTGCAGTCAGTTAACCTCATTGCCTTGGGAAGATGTATATTTACAGGACGCGTCAAAAAGCTTAAATAGCGTGGCGTTCTGCAACACACACACACGTACACAGGCACGTGTGTAGCCACCCATACGCACACACTCAGAATAACAAAATTGGCAAGACGTATTGATAAGTAGAATATATAAATATGAGGATCAAGAAAAAAACCATTTATTGTAATCTTGTTCTTTCGAGAACATGCAATGGACGAACAAGCAACAGCGATCCTCATCTTTAATACCACCACACTGCAAAACTTGCAAATACAGTAAACTACGGTTAAAACGAACTCAAAGGGGCCACTAAGTTTAGTTCGTTATAACCGTAGTTCGTTATAAGCATATGTACAGCATATATACAGCAGTGGCCGGGCCAAAAATTAAGTTCGTCATATCCGTCAGTTCGTTATAAGCGTGGTCGTTATAAATGTTTAACCGTATTTTCACATGTCCACACGTAAGTCAGGGATTGTGTAAGTTGGCTCTAACGACATTATGTTATGTTTTATTGATGTTGAGGATGAGGATGAGGATGAGAAGCTTGGTATTTAGGAATTTTCTTTTTGTCTGTGTTTAAGCAGTCCATTGTGCGATACCGACTATCATGAGCATGCGTCTATGAAACACTATCAAATAGTGATGACACCAGGTGTTCGCGAAAATGTAAGCATATCCTACCCTACCGGTGGCACCCGTCACAAACACATGCAAAGTCACGTCAATTGTTCGTCTGAAAGTAAGTACTGATAACCCCTCATCTTGGTGCGGATATTGATTTTGTTTGGTTTTCTCGCAGTGTATATATGTATGCTTGATGTATTTATCATTGCTATTTGTCTATGTATATTTGTTTATCTATTCAATGTACTATTATGTTTTACAATGTTGAACCAACGTTGGGTGTTTGAAGCAAACAAAAGATAAAGATGATAAAATCGCCTCTTACGACCCCCATAAGTTGCGGGGGACAATTCCGCACATGGCCAGTTGGAGCAGCACTTTAGTAATATGGAAAGCTTGAACATCACTGAGTGCGGAGTTAAAAAACAAAACATCAATGTGCATGTTGTATCTAGACTGTTTGTTTGTTTTTTGTTTGAGTCTGGACCAGGCAATCCAGTGATTGAAGTCATGTGCATCTATCCGCGGAATTGACATACGATGACATGCATGTTCTGTTTATTGATTTAGCTGCAAAATTCGAATTATATGTAGGAAATTAATGTGGATGTACGTTGGCGTACATCCTGAGTAGGCAGCTACGCGCCTCATTACAATTGTGATAAGCGTAGATACGGTCTTTTAGACTCAGTGCAATGCGTTTAAAATAAACCAGAACGTAAACTATCTGCGAAGTCGAGCACTTCCGCTGGACCGTATTAGACTGTTGTTAGACTGTTGTTAGACTGTTGTTAGACTGATCTTCTCAGTCTTGATCTTGAAATTGGTTTGACTTCTTAACGACAACTTTGCATCTGCTCATAAGTAATGGGTGTAATTTATGATACCAAACAACGTTAGTTAATGAACTAGAACCCACCATTGTCATTTGCCGTTATTACGTGTTGAGCCAAGCAGGTGAGGTGGGTAAAATGGGGTTTAACGTCGCGTTCAAGAATATTGCACTTATATAGTGAATGAACGCGCGTGCGTGCGTGCGTGCGTGCGTGCGTGTGTGTGCTTGTAATACCCCGGACTAATATCGTTTTTATTGTGCCATGCCACATGTTAACATGAATACCCAACTCAGACACAGTATACTAACTCCGAGCCGACCAGTCCTTGTTTTAGCCCTTTACGCCGATCGCCAGACAGGGTAACAGCATGTACCATCCTTGAACGTCTTTTGGTATGACGCGGCCGGGGTGCGAACTCCGGACCTTCCGCTGTCCGCTCTACCACTGAACCACGGAGCCGATCCCTAGCCAGGCAGTGCTCTATTCTGGCCGCGTTATCGAGGGACACACTATCATCTGGTGTGTGGTATGCTAAACCAGATCCCAGTGAATCGAGGCGAGCTAGGGTCTTGACCCTAGTGTCTTGTTACAATTTCTGGGGTTTGTCTCATGTGAAAAGGATGTCGACGCCTGGCCTCGAGCACTGGGGAGATATTACTATCCTTGTTGCGTACTTTGTCCTTGTCCTGGCTCTAGGACTTTGGGTAAGTATATTTACATGTTGATATCATTATGCCAGGTGATCTCAGAATTTGATTGATATTTGTCTGGTTCCATAGCCCAATTACAACTCTCCATCGCAGGCGAGGTTACACTCTGTGGACATGACACTACTGACGTCGTAGACGTCAAAGTGACAGTCGTACAGGCTGCCTGGCTCGAAGACATTCCCAACGAAGTGAGTGAGTGAGTGAATTTGGTTTTACGCTGCTTTTAGCAATATTCCAGCAATATCACGGCGGGGTACACCAGAAATGGGCTTCAAACATTGTACCCATGTCGGGAATCAAACCCGGGTCCTCGGCGTGGCGACCAAACGCTTCAACCGCTAAGCTACCCGACCGCCCCTGCCCGACGAAGACCTCACCGTATTGGCTGATATCCTACGGCGGATGCTCCCACACTCCGGCGCAGTGGTGACTTAGCATAACATAATACTATGCTGGCTGGCTGCCGGCCGCAAGGAACTCTGGGTAGGACCCCCTGGACCCCCTTGGACCCCCCCTGGACCCCTCTCTGGATCCGCCTTTGCCCTATACTCCTGTACCATCAGCACTCGTCCTTTTCTTTGCTTCAGTACAACCCTTAAATCAAAATATACGCCCACTGCTTGTTTTGCTTCAGGCAATATGTCGACCAAACCGTGGTACAGTAGAGAACTACTACCTGGCTGGGAGGAACATCGGCTGGTTCCCCGTGAGTCCTTCTGTCCTCAAACCATGACGTCATTGATATCTTACTGTTTTTGTTTTAATAACTAACCCCGCTCACAGAAATATTCCAGCTATAAGACGACAGCATGGAAATAATCAAAGTCAAAATAAGTTTATTATACAAAAGGCCTCCGGCCCATTTACAAGAGAGAGTTACGCATGTAGATACAATCATAAATCATAAATCGTGTTTGGACAAGACAATCCTGTGATTGATGTTATGAACAACGTCCCACACCGTCGGGGTACGAGGACACCGAGCCTGACCCCCCAGTCCATTAAGTCTCCTCGTACGACCCGAATACACTGCAGGTGGAACCCAGAACCCAAAATCCAGAGGGAACTTACAGTCATTGTGATAGTATACAGTTGATCACATTTGACACCAGCAATCTAAGCAGTTAAACTAAGAGATATCGTTTGGGTGAGGTCCCTTATCTCTATGACATTGTGGCTTGTTAGCGTTGCATTTTACTCTAGCGAAACTGCTTATTACTGTTTTTGAAAAGTTGGAAGAATGATTTTTAAATGATAGAATCTCACCCAAGTGTCTTTTAATATCAAATATATCAACACTCGTCGATAAGAGTTTAAAGCTAGTCTATGAATTTTAAACTTTTATCGACTCACGTGGATTTACTTGATATCAAAGGACACGAGGGTGGGATTCTCTATTCCTTGTGTCCATGCACGTGCAGGTTGGTGCGTCGGTCTTCTCCAGCAACATCGGCAGCGAGCACTTCCTTGGCCTGGCTGGACAGGGGGCAGCGGCGGGGATCGCCATGGTTACCTATGAATTCAGTGTAAGTTGGGGCCCGTGGCAGTCAGCCATCGTTTTATAAGTCAGGTGATATATGTCATAATGTTCACAGAAAAACAATATCTCATTTCTGCCAACATACAATTTACCAACATTGTATCTGTTAGTAGTTTGACACCTGTACATGGATCAATTATGGACTATCTGATTTTTCTGAAATTATATGCGTTAACATAGAAAAAGTATATATTAAAGTGTAAATTAAGGGGACACGGATGGCCCAGTCCTCTTAGGCGCCTCAGTTTGCTGTGCCCTTGGACACGCCAGAAACCCATGATAGTAGGTTCGAATCCCGGTTTGCCCCGATTGTGTTTCCAGGTTTGTCAGCACTGTACCCGTGTTCGCGGGTTTCCCTCCCACATTAAGCTGACACACCGTAATATGACTTGAATACTGTTAAAAACTCCCTATCATTTTTATCTGAATAGTTTCATTTAAAGACGAACACAGTGTTAATGACTCTGCTGTGTCAACAGGGGATGGTGGACTTGATCGGACTGAGCTGGTTGTTTCTCCCCGTGTATGTCTCGGCTGGGGTGAGTAAATATCACACCGGTACAGTACAGTGCATAACTAACTCCCACATATGTTACTGACATGGCCCCCGGGGGAATGCCGGGTTAGTGAGTGAGTGAGTGAGTGAGTGAGTGAGTGAGAGGTTTTATCGCGCTTTTCGCAATATTCCAGCATATCACGGCGGGGGACACCAGAAATGGGCTTCACACATTGTACCCATGTTGGGAATCGAACCCGGGTCTTCGACGTGACGAGCGAACGCTTTAACCACTAGGCTACCCGACCGCCCCGAAATATGACGAAACCAATTCAAATGAAATAACAGTGATCATTTTAAAGGCTCAGTAAGTTATGGAAGTTAGTTGGAAACGTTTAGAATGTGATAAAGTATGTTGTAGTATTTATGGACGTATAGACGTTATTGTGAACATTGACCTTCACCTTGCAGGTATACACTCTCCCCGAGTACATTGGGCGGCGGTTTGGTGGCCAGAGGATGAGGATCTACCTCAGCGTCCTTTCCCTCGTGCTCTACATTGTCACAAAACTCGCCGTTAGTATCTCTTAATAGTGATCTAAAGTGTTACAATAGGACTTCCTAGGGACGTCAGGTTCGTCCACGAGTAATATGGATATGATTTAAGTCCTGGAAAAGAAACCGAGCGTATGTTTCGAAGCAGTGACGGAAAAAAGTAGTCTCTAACAATAATCTCAGCCCCCTCCCCCAGGAACCGAAACACCGACCCCGACACCAACCAGCCTCATCCCCCACCCACCCATATTATATTAATTGGTCGGTCCTTTTCGTAAATATATAAATCTGAACCTCTTTAATACGAACTTATCGATGTCTCCGGATTGTTGTGTTCAGACATTGCCTGCCTCGCTGTGTGTTTCCCTCATGCAGGACAAACTTGTAGGGGATTAACGGGTCCCACCTTGATACACAACATCTAAAACAAGACTACGCATTCACTGATTAAAGATAATTTGTAATTTCTCAATAAGGAAAACATACAACTTTATGGTTATAGTTGAAACTGAAATTTGTAAATTCCGAAGGCGCAACTAGTTTTTGACCTGTACTGTAGGTCAGCATCTACGCAGGAGGTCTGTTCATCAAGCTTGCTCTAGGATGGAACATGTACATCTCTATAGTGGGGCTGCTTGTCGTCACGGGCGTGTACACTATACTAGGTGAGTTAGTTATGTCCGGTACTGTAGATCAGCATCTACGCATGGGTCTGTTCATCAAGATGGCTCTAGAATGGAACATGTACATCTCTATAGTGGGGCTGCTTGTGTACTGTACTAGGTGAAGGGTTCCACAAGATGGCTCAAGATCGAACATGTACGTCTCTGGTTGTGCGTCGTCAGTATTACGTATGAATACATTAATGTCGCTCAGTGCTAAAGATATCCATTTAGCTGGCGTTGTACATTTCCTCAACTGTATTCTATACTCTTCACTGCAATCGCTTTTTGGGAGTCCAGAATAGAATTCTCCCCAGTACCATCTGGTTGTCGTAAGAATCAACTGAACTGGATCATTCTCCCCCGACGTCATAGAAGGTTGCTCATAATATCCACCCCTCGTTTGTCTGGACTAACAGAATATTTACAGGTCGCCGTGAAATAGCTGTAGTATTGCTGTTAACGGCGGTAAACAACATTCACTCACTATTTTCTGCACCCGATGTAGGGTTCCACTGGTACGTAGGTAGGACCTCGTCGTGTTCGGCACATCAAACTTCGTCATATCCGAACTGCATGTATTGACCCTGCTGTACTTGTCAGGCGGACTGACGGCGGTCATCTACACGGACACATTCCAGACGGTCGTCATGACGGCAGGCGCCATCTCCCTCACAGTGCTGGGTAAGTCTTCCTTCTGAAGCCAAGATTAGGGGAAACATGTACACCGTGAAACCCCTGTTAGTCCGCCCGGAGATCCCTTCTGTACCAGGCCCTTGTTGTAAACAGCCTCATCCGTACAAAACATCCCACTCCTACCCACACACACCACTCCTATCCCTACCCACCCCGACCTTAACATAGCTACCGAACACCCCACAACCTCCGCTCCCTCCCCTCCCCATCCCACCCTACCCACACACACCACTCCTATCCCTACCCACCCCGACCTTAACATAGCTACCGAACACCCCACAACCTCCGCTCCCTCCCCTCCCCATCCCACCCTACCCACACACACCACTCCTATCCCTACCCACCCCGACCTTAACATAGCTACCGAACACCCCACAACCTCCGCTCCCTCCCCTCCCCATCCCACCCTACCCACACACACCACTCCTATCCCTACCCACCCCGACCTTAACATAGCTACCGAAAAACCCCACAACCTCCGCTCCCTCCCCTACCCATCCCACCCTACCCCCCCCTTCCCCCCCCCCCCCCCCCCCCCCCCCCTCCCCCCGCCCCCGCCCATTCCCACCCCGACACACCTCTACCCTCCAAACCCGGAAATTCGCTCCGGCAGCATACCTTCAGAACACGCTCCGGGCGGACGCTCTACCATTAGATCACGGAGGCGGTCTCTTTAACAAGTAGATGTTCTAGTCTGGAAGTACACACCAGGAGTAACATCCTCACACCTCTCTCTCAGGCTTCCAGAAGATTGGTGGTTTTGACAATCTGGAACACCGCTACATGAACGCCATCCCAAGCGTCCGCGCCAACAACACCACCTGCGGCCTACCCAGGGACGACGCCTTCCACATCTTTCGTGACCCCGTGACCTCTGACCAGCCCTGGCCAGGCCTGCTAGTGCACTCGTCTCTGGGAGTCATGTGGTACTGGTGCTGTGATCAGGTTAGAGTGGTCTCCCTTGACAAAATGGCCTCACACAGGTTACTCTCCAACAACGCCGGTTTGAGCAATGTTCCAGCAATATCAAGGCGGGGGACACGGGAAAATGGGCTTCACATATTGTACCTATGTGGGGAATCGAACCTGGGTCTTCGGCGTGACGAGCCAACGATTTAACCACTACCGCCCCATGCTGGTTTGAAGGGTAGATTCTAAAAGGCTCCCGTGATAATACTGATAACAAACAGCGACAGTCGGGGTTAAGTGAAAACACCGTCAAAGGCTAAGTTGCTATGGCGAGCAACCTTATCCGTGAGCAAATTAAATAAACGGTTTTGGGTAATGCGAGTGGGATATTTCGAGTATATTTAAAGGCTCATTGGAATTATTTGAATCATGCGCTCAACGCGCCCTTGTACAACCCAATGACAAGATTAGACTTGTTTGTAACTTCCTACTTACCAATTACGAATTTTAAAAAAATTCCTTTCGACAATCAAGGTAATGTTACATTAATTCGGAAATTATGTTTTCACGAAATCATCTGCAAAACGTATCAAAATCAATTAAGTAAGCGTTTTTACTCATTGAATTGGATTCAAGGTGATTGTACAGCGCACCCTGGCGGCGAAGAGTCTGAGTCACGCCAAAGCAGGAGTTATCTTGGCTGGCTACCTCAAGTTTCTGCCTCTGTTCATCATGATCTTCCCGGGGATGATCAGCAGGGCGCTGTTCCCAGGTAGGTAATAGTTGCTATGGTACTACGTAAACAGGCACCGTAACAACAAGTACATTCAGTCAGTGGTATATTTGTCTAGATATATTGATAGGCAGAATAGATGTACAGATAGGAGATTTAGCTATGGAGGTTCTTGTAAAGCAGAATAAGCTCTACCTAGCGCTCGTTTATACTTCCCGCGTGAAAATGTAACGACAGTGTAGAGTGTATAGAGTGTATGTGAGATCTGGATCTGTGATAATAGTTACTATAATTTCTTTATCCATATTTTATAGTGTGTATGTGAAATCTGGATCTGTTCAAGGACAGGTTCTTTAATATCTCCCTCCAGATGTTATAGCATATATATGACATCTCGATCTGCAAGGACAGGTTCTATAATGTCTCTCTCCAGATGTTATAGCGTGAATGTGAGATCTGGATCCGTGATAATAGTTACTATAAATTCTTTATCCAGATGTTATAGCGTGTATGTGAGATCTGGATCTGTAAGGACAGTTACTATAAATTCTTTATCCAGATGTTATAGCGTGTATGTGAAATCAGGATCTGTAAGGACAGTTACTATAAATTCTTTATCCAGATGTTATAGCGTGTATGTGAAATCTGGATCTGTAAGGACAGTTACTATAAATTCTTTATCCAGATGTTATAGAGTGTATGTGAGATCTGGATCTGTAAGGACAGTTACTATAAATTCTTTATCCAGATGTTATAGCGTGTATGTGAAATCAGGATCTGTAAGGACAGTTACTATAAATTCTTTATCCAGATGTTATAGCGTGTATGTGAAATCAGGATCTGTAAGGACAGTTACTATAAATTCTTTATCCATATGTTATAGCGTGTATGTGAAATCAGGATCTGTAAGGACAGTTACTATAAATTCTTTATCCAGATGTTATAGCGTGTATGTGAGATCTGGATCTGTAAGGACAGTTACTATAAATTCTTTATCCAGATGTTATAGCGTGTATGTGAAATCAGGATCTGTAAGGACAGTTAATATAAATTCTTTATCCAGATGTTATAGCGTGTATGTGAAATCAGGATCTGTAAGGACAGTTACTATAAATTCTTTATCCAGATGTTATAGCGTGTATGTGAAATCTGGATCTGTAAGGACAGTTACTATAAATTCTTTATCCAGATGTTATAGCGTGTATGTGAGATCTGGATCTGTAAGGACAGTTACTATAAATTCTTTATCCAGATGTTATAGCGTGTATGTGAAATCAGGATCTGTAAGGACAGTTACTATAAATTCTTTATCCAGATGTTATAGCGTGTATGTGAAATCAGGATCTGTAAGGACAGTTACTATAAATTCTTTATCCAGATGTTATAGCGTGTATGTGAAATCAGGATCTGTAAGGACAGTTACTATAAATTCTTTATCCAGATGTTATAGCGTGTATGTGAAATCTGGATCTGTAAGGACAGTTACTATAATTTCTTTATCCAGATGTTATAGAGTGTATGTGAGATCTAGATCTGTAAGGACAGTCACTATACATTCTCCCTCCTGATGTTATAGCGTGCATGCGAGATCTGGATCCGTGATAATAGTTACTATAATTTCTTTATCCAGATGTTATAGTGTGTATGTGAGATATGGATCTGTGATAATAGTTGCTATAATTTCTTTATCCATATTTTATAGAGTGTATGTGAAATCTGGATCTGTGATAATAGTTACTATAATTTCTTTATCCAGATGTTATAGAGTGTATGTGAGATATCGATCTGTAGGTACAGTCACTATAAATTCTCCCTCCAGATGTTATAGCGTGTATGTGAGATCTGGATCTGTGATAATAGTTACTATAATTTCTTTATCCAGATGTTGTAGTGTGTATGAGAGATCAGGATCTGTAAGTACAGTCACCATACATTCTCCTTCCAGATGTTATCACGTGTAAATGACATTTGGATTTGTAAGCAGAGCTACACTATTTTCATCCTCCAGATGTTATATATGTATATTACATCGAGATCGGTGAGGATTCACCATACTTTCTGTGTCTAGACGTGATAGCGTGCGCTGATGCTGCTGAGTGCCAGAAACAGTGTGAGAACCCAGCTGGGTGTTCCAGCATCGCCTACCCCAAGCTGGTGCTGGAGATCCTGCCCGTAGGTGTGTAGTGCAGGAGTCTCGATATTACTGCTTCTTACTGTTACGTCTTGATTCCCAGGTTTAAACGTAAAGTTTAACGCAGAAAACGGTCCGTACAGAGCTAAATTGCCAAATCAGTAAATAACCACACATGATCAATTAACAAATTATACTGAAACACACAGGATTAGGTTAATGATTATAAAAGACAGTACAGTGGGTCAAATATGGGTCAGCAGCAATTTGTAACAAGCCCTATTACACTTATCGGTGCTATCACGGATGTCCACACTTTGACACAATCAATAGTCGTGACAGAGGCACGTTCTCCGTACTCGAACACAGGACACAATGCTGAAAACAGGCGGAAAAGTCGGCACATTTAGATAAGCACCCAATCGGCACGGGGTAAGTAGATTAGTCGCAAGTCAGACCAACGAATGCATCGAATTGACCTCGTCTCGCTCTTAAAGAGGTACAACCAGCCTTCTACAAAGGGTTATCTCACGCAGTTTCTTCGCATGAGGTGAATTGACAACTGGAAAGAAGCTCATTAAAGTGGAGTCTCTATATCGGGAGGTAACGAAGGTGTGAAGCGTCGGGGTGGAGCTTGGACTGTAAACAACAAAATGAAATCACTGTTTTTTACGAGCGCTTCAATTAGCTGCCACTAACATGAGAAATAAGTTACAATATATACTGCCACATAGCTTTATGTTGATGTCAACGTTCATGTGCATGTGCATCCTCATTTCTATTATTTTTAGCGTTTCATTTACATAGGTGTTCACCGTAAGGACTTCGTCTCACATGACGTAGAGGATGAGGAAATGAGTGATAATTTATTAACATTTATTGCTTCAACATAAATTTTCAATAGTTACTTCACAGTACTGTGTGCTGCAGGTCTTCATTGACGTACTATAGGTACGACACCCCTTTCTATGTTGACCAATTTATAAAAAAATGTTTACATGCATAGATTGTGAATGGTTTGGGAAGGAAAAGCACTAGACGCACAAATTTACTTCTTTCCAAATTTGTGAAATTGTGAGCCGGCGGTTCCGTATTCCATACAAATTGCCTTCGATTCGTTGTTCAACGTCTACAATTTTGTGAATGGATAAGTCAGAAACAAGTCATTTTGTCATTTTGGCTTCTTCCCTTCTCCCGTGTAGGCCTGTGAGTCCGGTTGACTTCTTCCCTTCTCCCGTGTAGGTCTGCGAGTCCTGTTGGCTTCTTCCCTTCTCCCGTGTAGGTCTGTGAGTCATGTTGACTTCCTCCCTTCTCCCGTGTAGGTCTGTGAGTCATGTTGGCTTCTTCCCTTCTCCCGTGTAGGTCTGCGAGTCATGTTGGCTTCTTCCCTTCTCCCGTGTAGGTCTGCGAGTCATGTTGGCTTCTTCCCTTCTCCCGTGTAGATCTGCGAGTCATGTTGGCTTCTTCCCTTCTCCCGTGTAGGTCTGCGAGGTCTGATGATGGCGGTGATGCTGTCAGCCATCATGAGTTCCCTCACCTCCATCTTCAACAGCGCCAGCACGCTCTTCACCATGGACCTCTGGCGGCGCATGCGCCCTAGAGCCCGACAGAGGGAGCTGCTCATTGTTGGAAGGTTATAGATAACATACCTGGTCATGCGTTTCGTTATTCATGGAATTTGAGCGTATGTTACATTTCTACATATACTGACCCGCAACAGAAACGTCACCATGGATAGATATATGAGACACCTTATTTGTCCAAACACTGTAAACATACTTTGAGACATTACAAAAAGATGAAACAAGGTTGAAATAAAAGTGTCAAATGTTATTGAAACACAACACTAGTCTCTGAGAAACTGGCATCACAAGTCAGTATCTCGTGTGTCCGCCATGTGCATTGATGACTTCCGTGCAACGTCGACACATGGAATGGATGAGGCGGTTGATGAACGCAGTTCAGCTGCAGTTGTCGGCCTTGGTCGGACGTCATTCAGCCGTCTTAGAATCTCGTCCCACATGTGCTCAATGGCATTTAAATCGGGACTGAGAGCAAACCACTGCATGGTTCTGATGCCATTCTGCTGGAGGAAGTCTCTTGTTGTTATCGCAGTGTGGGTACGGGCGCTATCATGCTGAAACTCGTGGGTGCGGCGACGTGCCAAATGAGGTATGGCGTGTGGTCTCCAGACTTGATCAGTGTATCGAGCTGCTGTGACATCATTGCCTCTCCCTGGACCGATATTCGGGAAGACCACAGGGCCGACCCTCTGTGCAAGACCAATTCCACCCCACACCATGATATGATGCTCTGACCACTCCATGAGTCTCTTTCAACAACACAAGCATCCGAATAACGTTCCCCACGGCGTCGCCAGACTCTCTCTCTCTCTCGCTCTCTCTCTCTCTCTCTCTGCAATCTGCTGTCGAGATACAGTAACGGCTCCCGTCTGAGAAGAGTACTCTTCTCCACTGCTGGCGGCGCCAATGCTGGTGCTGTATTGCCCACTGAAGACGGTTCTGGCGATGACGTGGTGTCAGAATGGGTCCTCGGTGTGGCCTGTGACAGTGAAGGTGTCTGCTCGTCAATCGTCGACGCACGGTGTCCGCACTAATGTGTCGCTGGTGTGTCCCCATGATCTGTCGAGCAGTTTCCGCAGCAGATGCTGTCTTGAAGATGCTGTCGCACAATCTGACGATCCTGACGTCGGGTCGTGACCCTTGGTCTTCCACTAAGTGATCGGTCATCTGTAGTGTTGGTGGTCTGGTACCGTTGCTGGGGCCTGTATATGGTCCTAACGTGGACTTGAAATGCATTGGCTACTTACCGGCGGGCGGTTTGTCCAGCTTGCAATCGTCCAAGGGCTTGCTGTCCACGTGCATCGGGTTACCATGGCCGTTGCCGTGATGCGTTTGGGCGATCGATTTTATTGTCATCTGCTTTGTTTTTTATCATCAAATTTAATTTTTCCGGACAAGGTAATGTTAAATTTTAGAATTTTAGACAAAAGTTACCCAGATATTTAAATGACACCTTTTCATGCAATGTTACTTGGGGTGACGTTTCTTTTGCGGTTCAGTATATGTATATATCCAGGAATATCCATTTATCCACCTCTTATGATCAGCAGAGACTGTTAGGAACGAATTCTAACCCGGAATCCACACTGGACTTCCATACTTCTATACTCCATAAATAATTTAAGAACACAAATGAATTGGTCATCCCAATCACACAGATTGTCTTCTACAACACGCTCCTTCCTGTTTCAGGGTAGCTATCGTAGCTTTGTGCGGAGTCAGCATATTGTGGATTCCTATGGTTCGCTCCTCCCAAGGGGGACAACTCTTCAACTACATCCAGGCTATACAGGGATATCTAGGAACCCCGATAGGGCCTCTTTTCATCATGGCGGTTCTCTGGAAACGGATGAATGAAGCAGTGAGGGTTTCAGCTTTGTTATCACAGAATTTACAATGCATTGTTTGTGAGGTAACGTTGTGTTTATTAGTGTGTGAGGGAGACAGACGAAATGGACAGCCTTCAATTTCATTACAGCTTTGAAGATTATTTATAAAAAAAAGCACGAAGTGGCAAGAGATATAGTACGGAGATGTCAGGGATCATAATCGGGAGATCTTGGATTCTAACCCATGATCCTCGGGTTGTTTTGAAAAAGTGTTTTTGAAGAAAATCCAGAAAAAGATGTTCTACTAAGGTTTGTTTACTGGATGTCTTGAAAATGTTAGATGTTGTTTTTGCTACAATGAACATCCCAGGCTGCCCCAGGAACACTACCTGGCCGGTCCTTTACGAGACCTCCTCTAAAGGAAGGTTCGTGACATCTTCTCGTTGAGAGGAGTAATAGATCGGATTAACTGAGACTGATTATCATAATTATATCCTTTATAGGGAGCGTTTTGGGGCTTGTTGATAAGTCAGATGTGCGGCGTGATACGGATGGTGTTAGACTTCGTGTACCCACTGCCTCCCTGCGGTGAGCCGGACACACGTCCGCGGATAGTGTCTTACGTCCACTACACCTACTTCAGCATCTTCATCTTCTTCTTCACCTGCGTCTGCATCTACGTCTTCAGCTACACCGCCAAACCGCCAACAGAGGAGCAGGTTCGATGCTTTAGAGTCAGGTAGTGAGTAGTGTTTTACGCCGCTTTGAGCAATATTCCAGCAATATCACGGCAGGTGTGTGTGTGTGTGTGTGTGTGTGTGTGTGTGTGTGTGTGTGTGTGTAATTATCTTTTTCAAAAGCTTTTCATGTTTGGGTCCTTTACTTATTGGCTTCTTTGTGTATTTTTATAAAACTGAAATTAGTTAAAGCTCGTCGGGAAAACGGCGGATCTGTTAATTGAGTAATTAATAAACCACGTCACTTTATACAACCAGATGGGTAATGTAACCTATCAGCAACAAATCTAAGACTGTATATTAGCTCAGACAATCTATTGCTGGAATGGCACAGAGGTGTATCCTGAATTACTGAAAGGTGTGTGTATGTGTGTGTATGTGTGTGTGGTGTGTGTATGGTGTGTGTGTGTATGTGTGTGTGGTGTGTGTATGTGTGTGTGGTGTGTGTATGTGTGTGTGGTGTGTGTATGTGTGTGTGTGTGCGAGAATAGGGGCTCATCACCGCATATTCACGGTCTAAAGGAACCTTACCCAAATATGTCAGAAATATTGTGTATCTGTTTTGATGTTTATCGACGCAATATTCAGCAATATCCAGAGATCGATAGAGTGAACAACGTTCTACGTATTCGGAGAAAGATGTGACGGAAAGAGGTAACATCTGGGTTTCCAGGTTCCTCACAACTACTGCGGTTGTCTGGCACATCCCCGACTACACGCCTCTATCTGCATGTCGCGGATGGTCCCGTCGTCTCATGAACCGTCATTCACCATGTAACGGAAACCTATGATCCAAGGCTGGAACTCCAGATTCGCACTTATGGGCGGATCCAGAGGGGGTAGGGTGGGGTACAGGAAGACCGCCCCCTCCCCTTTTGAAAAGCAAACGTTGTATGTTGTAGGCAGTAAAACTATCTGAATTTTTTTTTGGATATTTTGGACGCATCTCTTTAAAAAATGCTGGATCCGCCGTTGACCCTGATTATGTTTGTCTGTCGCCTGTATCTTCTCACGGCAAGCAGACACGCCATGATATAACCGACACAGATCCAAGAGAGTGGCCTAAGTAGTATACAGTGTAGTTCATGAAAATACTGACTTTATTGAATCAATTGTCTCTGTACTTATTCAGCTGCGTGGGGTCACATGGTGGACGAGGGTAGGCCGGAAAGAAGAATCTTCCACAAACGTCCTTGAAGAGCAGGGCACGAACGACAACTCTGACAGACAAAGTAGGACTTTGTTCTGTCTATAATAATGAAAACACCCTCTATGGCCTAGTTATACATTTTAAACGCCAGGAATTAAATTACAGATGTACAATGTATGTATCCTACTTTCATTCCGTATGTTTGTGGGAAACAGAGAAAGGCGTTTGACTGTAAATTCAAAACGTCAATGCCAGAGACTCACCAGTCTCGATTATCTGCCGAAACAGATTCCATTGGGCGTAAAGGCAAATTAGTGATGAAATTATATGAATGGATCACTGAAAACAAAGGTGTTCACTTTCATTTTTTAATTAGAATTCCCGTGACATATCCTGGCGCAAATTAGTGACCCACGATCGCCTTTAATCGAATTACTGCTCGTCAGGGTTCCCTCGGAACAGAAATAGCTAACTAATTAGAGACTAGATATAGCTCCGTGTAAAGCCGAACTTTTAATGACGCAGATCAAGAAACAACACGTGCTGTAATAATTCTGCAGGTGACGTAATTGGTTAAGCAAGTTTAGGGACGACTTCTGTGAAGATAGACTCGAATATAATCTAAAGAAATCGGATATAAAGAATTTTGATATAAAGAATTCGGATAAAAATGCTTTCAATCGGATAAAACGTTAAATAAGGCTACAGCCAATAAGTACGGTGTCAACAGTCACCACTGCTTCAGTACCTGCACCCTCGAGATATAAACTATCATTCCATATAATAGAGCCGTTATTAGAAATTGCTTCCTGTAATACTTTTCTGACTAAATATACTCATGTTGAAACACAGAAACGAAAATCGATTATCTACTGGCTGTTGCTAGGCAATGGCCAATTCAATTGCTTCAGACACGGTGAGTGAGTCTGCATCTTTGCACCAGGTGTTATACCTCAGTACCCGCGACTATCTTGAGGTGAGGTGAGGTGAAATTGGGTTTAACGTCGCGTCCAAGATTATTGCACTTATATAGCGACGTGCATGCACGTGTATGTGTGTGTGTGGCTGCTTGTACTAGTCCGGACTGATGCCGATTTATAGTGCTAGCTCACTGAGATACCATGCCGCAGTTTAACATGAATACCCCACTCAGACACAGTATACTGACTCCGAGCCGACCAGTCCTTGTTTTAGCCCCTTAATGCCGAGCGCCAGACATGGTAACAACAAGTACAATCTTTTAACGTCTTTTTGTATGACGCGGCCCGGGATCGAACCCTGGACCTTCCGCTCTCCGGGCGGACGCTCTACCACAAGACCACGGAGGCGGTCACTATCTTGAGAAACATACAAGGGTGTATTAAACACATACCACAACATGAAACAACGTGCAGCAACATTCAGCTATTGTACCTATGTCGGGATTTGAACCCGGTGTTGTAGGCTCAAATGACTCCCCAGGCTCAGACCAGACGACTAGAGTTATTTGAGCCTAGGCTCAGATGACACCCCTTTGGCCCAAACGACTCCCCCGTCGTTGGCTCAGATAACTCCCCAGGGTCAGACGACTAGAGTTATTTGAACCTAGGCTCAGATGACTCCCCCAGGCCCAAACGACCCACCCCCCCCCCCCCCCCCCCCACCCCCCCACCCCCCCGTCGTTGGCTCAGATAACTCACCAGGCTCAAATGACTCCTCCATTTGTTTTGAAGAATACAAATTTCTTGACACTAATTGTGCAACATTCTGAGAATGTCGTACACAAGTAATATTTTTTCGATGATTCAGCATAGTATTTTCGATGATTGCACCCCATTGTTTTACATATTGTGAAATAACAAGATTTTTTGCATAATAAGATCTTATGTGATAAATTTGAAGGACATTATCAAGTCATTTCGTTTAGACTTTTTAAATACAGGTACACATCAGCAACTCTGACATAATGGCTGGATATGATGTGATAGTGACGCTTTACTGCAATATTTGTTGAACTTGGAAAAGATTTGTGTTCAATATTCTGATTTACTAACTTTGTATTTCAAATAATACTGCACCTGATGTTTGATTGTAATGTCTATTATATTTTTTAGAAAGATAATTATATTGGCACTATGACCTGTTTGGCAATCTTATTTCTTCATGTGAAATGTTTTTATACACGCACGATCATTATGTAACAAAATTAATGGAAATTAATATTGTTCAAAACGTACTCGGCGCGATGATATGGCATGACATGGATGTAAGGGTCGATGGAGTTTACTTTATCATATAATGGGTAGGTTTCTCGGCAGGATAAAGCCAACGGATAAAAACGATATCCGTTGGGGTCATATGCGGATAGAGATGCAAATATCAAAGGTAAAGTAGGACTACTTTCACTGTTTATAAACAAGCATGGCGTCGCCCTCGTCATTCGGCGATCGAGTCAGAATTAACCATCGTGAATCTGGATAAACTACAGGGATTATTGCTATCATTATCAAACGAACAGTCTAATATACTGAAAATCAGTGTCTAACTGTGACGTAGCTAAGGCATTTTATAAGTTTTGGCAACTTTCGAGATATAAATTTCGAAACAATTTTGCGAGGGCACGAGGCCTAGCCAAGCGGGATCAGTAGTCATATCTGTGTTTGTAGACCTCTGTGGCTTGAAACCTTCTCCACAAATCAAAATGGTTGGATTCGGCCGAAATATGTTTGAACTGTTACCTTGTTTCGTTTTGTCGCTGTGTGTACATCTGACTACACTTCTTAACGTTATGAAAGGACAGACCGACTGTCAACAACGTCTGACCGTGGCCATGACGTCTCATAGACTAGAGTTAGAGTAGCTTCCCTTTGACAAAGGGCAGTTACTCTAGCGGACAGACCGATGGATTGCCGCGAAAGGCATTTACAAACAACTGTTGTTTTGCCTATAAGTTGCTTCGCCACTGTATAAGAAACAGATTTCAGTTGGAACTATATTGGCTACTGTCACTGTCCGACTGACTAATCACTTACCCTGTGACGTAATAAATATTAATGCGCGCATTCCAGGAAAACTCGCAATGTTTCGGTAATGTTTGTGAGAGAGGGAAAGCGATTTTAAAGCACAGAATTAAAGAATGACATTATATGATAAAGAGGTTATCACGCTTGTGTGTTTGGGGATGGTAAATATCCTGTATTAGGAATAAACACTATGTATTTAGCTCGCCAAGGCTCGCTAAATACAATGTTTATTCCTAATGCAGGATATTTACCATCCCCAAGCACACTCGCGTGATAACCTCTATGTATCAGACCTCGACTGCAGTAACTGAATGGTCGGCCTGTAGTCAACTCAGAGACAACGGATCCTCACACTAACTTCCTGATGTTCACATCAGACACAACGTGCAGATGGTTTAGAATTTAGTGCACAAGTATTCGTTCCATCTGACTTCATTATATCGACTGCGCTATAACATACACCCGGAGTTGAATTTATTGTTTTCGCAGGGTCCACGGTTTGTGTGTTCGAATCCAGATTTACTCGGTTTATGATCCTTGGTCTGTTGAACGCTGGGTAGATTAGGTCCCCAGACTCCACTGCCGGTCAAACCGCCTTCGTGGTGTTGTGGACAGCAAAGGTCGGTGGTTCGAACCCCGGTCGCGTCATTCAAAAATACTTTAAAAATGTTGTACTTGTTGTTACCATGCCTGGCGCGCGGCATTAAGGGGATAAGCCAGAACTGTTGGTCAGTGTAGTGTGTCTGAGTGGCATGGTATCTCAGTGGGATAGCACAATAACACCGGCATAAGTCCGAAGTAGGTACAACCTCTCTCTCTCTCTCTCTCACTTTCTTTTTATCGCTCTCTCTTTATCTCTCTCTCTTTATCGCTCTCTCTCTTTATCTCTCTTTTTATCGCTCTCTTTATCTCTCTCTTTATCTCTCTCTCTTTATCGCTCTCTCTCTTAATCGCTCACTCTCTCTTTATCTCTCTCTTTTTATCGCTCTCTTTATCTCTCTCTTTATCGCTCTCTCTTTATCGCTCTCTCTTTATCGCTCTCTTTATCTCTCTCTTTATCGATCTCTCTCTTTATCGCTCTCTCTCTCTTAATCGCTCACTCTCTCTTTATCTCTCTCTTTTTATCGCTCTCTTTATCTCTCTCTTTATCGCTATCTCTTTATCGCTCTCTCTTTATCGCTCTCTCTTTATCGCTCTCTTTCTCTTTATCTCTCTTTTTATCGCTTTCTTTATCTCTCTCTTTATCGCTGTCTCTTTTTATCGCTCTCTCTCTTTATCTCTCTTTTTATCTCTCTTTTTATCGCTCTCTTTATCTCTCTCTTTATCGCTCTCTCTTTATCGCTCTCTTTCTCTTTATCTCTCTTTTTATCGCTTTCTTTATCTCTCTCTTTATCGCTCTGTCTCTTTTTATCGCTCTCTCTCTTTATCTCTCTTTTTATCGCTCCTTTTATCGCTCTCTTTATCTCTCTCTTTATCGCTCTCTCTCTTTATCTCTCTCTCTTTATCGCTCTCTTTATCTCTCTTTATCGATCTCTCTCTTTATCGCTCTCTCTCTCTCTTAATCGCTCACTCTCTCTTTATCTCTCTCTTTTTATCGCTCTCTCTTTATCTCTCTCTTTATTGCTCTCTCTTTATCGCTCTCTCTTTATCGCTCTCTTTCTCTTTATCTCTCTTTTTATCGCTTTCTTTATCTCTCTCTTTATCGCTGTCTCTTTTTATCGCTCTCTCTCTCTTTATCATTCTCTTTCTCTCTCTCTCTTTCTCTCTATCTCTCTTTATCACTTTCTTTCTCTATTTCTCTGTCTCCCTCTCTTCTGTGGCGTTAAACAACATTCACCCCCACTTCGTGCGGACCTCTGTCATATAACTGAAATACTGTTCAAACTAACAAGGCCATTTTTTAATGTTACCAGCATTTCAAGTCGGGGCCGCCAACACAGCCGATGAAACAAGAGAGGGAAGGTGTTCTTATTGGACTGGCGTCATCTGCGGAATACCAAAGGACCATGGGACGGCGGATGAGATCCAGGACATTGATGATGACCATAAGCGCCAATTCCTGAAAGACAGATCGAAATGGAGGCTGATTTTAAACTTTAATGCTGGGCTCGGATTGGTTGTTATGGCTTTCATGTATGGCTATTTCAAATAAAGCACCACACACTGTTGTCCACTAGAAAATGCTTGCTGATTGGCTAATTCTCGTCTATCGTTCCACACACTCCTTCCTTGATATCACTCACGCACCATATCGCACCACATTGTCTATTCAAAACTTTGTCCATCTTTCTTTTCCTGTTTGAAGACTTCACACACTAATGAGATAAACACATGTTGCAAAATGCTCAGCTTTCATCGAGAAATGTGACCAACGTTTCCATTACGTATTTATCCTAACACGTGCAGAAATCATAGCTCTATGGATAGCTAGTTTTAACTAATTTCAGTTTCAGAAAATACACAAAGAAGCCAATAAGTAAAGGACCCAAACATAAAACGCTTGAAAAAAAATAAAATTAAAGTAACAATAAACTTTAAATTTTATAAAAATATCATTCCAATCCTCAAACGAAGTCTTATTAAAGTCGTGAAGCAGGGTTATTAAAGACTAGTGTTCAATGCCGAAATCGAATGTTAAGGGTGTGTTTGCTCTCCCTGAAGAATATTTGTAAAGCATACGTCTGTCCACACAGTGTTATTAATGTCTAGTATACAATTTAATGTATGTAGAGATTGCAAATTCTACATTATCAAAAGGGTGTATGTCTGTGTAAAAGTTGCGATTGTAACATTGAGGTCAGTCTTTGGCCTGTTCCACAAATACATCTTAACGCTGCCATAGTCGTAAGTCTGTGTTAAGGTACGGGAGTTACGAACGTCTTAGCGCTGAGATAGATTTGTTGATCGAGTTTCAAAGAATATATCTGATATAAAAAAAACACTAGGATGAGATTCTATTTAACGACACATTAAACTCAACACTAAATGGTCGGGCATAATTCGTGTCAGACTTATGATTGTAACGAACCTCTGCTCTTGACACTGTTAGTTATACAGGATAACTCCTTAACCTGTATCTCGGTTAATTGTCGCATATGTCAACCGATTTCTCGTTCTTTGGCAATGGAGATCAGATTACACTTAACGTCAGTTTGACAATGAAATCAATTGGCTCCCCACACTGAATCATTTCCCTGTAAAATCTACACAACAGAAAAACATGGCAACACGCGATTGGAAGAAAGAGCACCAAGTAAACAGAAGTTAATTATGAATATATTTAACATGGTTTCATATAACAGTTATCAATAGAACGTGCATGAACAAAATACACGACTTGCTCCTCAAACTCGGCCCAGTATGACAGCGACAGACATAATCCACATTTGGTACTATTATCTGTGATTAGTTAGGATTTGAGTTACTCGCGATCGCTGCGGTAATATCTTGGTCGGAAACCTAGGATAATGTCATCCCTCGCGTTATTACTTCTGTCGTTAATTAGTACCAGGATACCAAATTTGTTGCAAGGATCATTGCTTGGCGTCGGTCGGCATTTATAAGCAAATGGTCTACATTCATGTTGTGTTCAGACAGAAACAAAGCAATTTGGCATTGTGTTTCCAATATCTCTGAAGGACAAATGTAATGAGATAGGACTCATTTATTCATTCATACGTCTCTTGCTCAAATGTTGTGTGATCAGGGTTACAACATTGAAAGCCCCTGCAAAGCTTCAAAACTTTTTATGTTAGGCACGTAGGCAAATTTGAAGCATCTGTGACAAAATGATGTCCGATGCAGTTCCCTTTTACTATATGTTCCTGTGTATATTTATAGGAACAATTGACTTGCCTTTTCATGTGTTTGTTACGGGGGCAACCAGGGTGGAAGGATACGGTCCCCGTTTTGCGAACACCTGCTGTCATCACAATGTGATAGTGATTTATTTTCTTCAGAACGTTCACTCTCTGAGAATACTTCCATCAGATGAACCCTGTCTTTGACCCCAAGCTAAAAAAGAAGGCTGCGTGGGCTCTTTAGCCCATTAGCTGTAAGCTTTCTAAAACGATTCGTATTCATTTTTTTGCCGCCTCGATTCGGAAACCTCACACAGAGCACAAACTTTGGGTGAAGATGCAATGGCGCTCAAAAACGAGAGGGTGCATGAAATAATCCAAATGTTCTGACGCCTCTGTACTTTCTACTACTGACTGCGTCCAGCACTTGCATATACCATTTCCTGTGCGGGGTTGCAAAAGGCGTCAGGACCCGTGAAGATCGGGGAAGAATAGGTCTTCACCAACCCATGCTTGCTGTAAAAGGCGACTATGCTTGTCGTAACCCGCCTAACGGGATCGGGTGGTCAGGCTCGCTGACTTGGTTGATGCATGTCATCATATCCCTATTGCGTGGATCGATGCTTATGATGTCAATCACACGATTGTCATTGCTATCACTTCTTATACTTCAATGGTAAGTGTTTTTACCTTTCCGCAGACCGCCTCCGTGGTCTAGTGGATAGAGCGTCTGCCTGGTGGGCGAAAGGTCGGTGGTTTGATCCTTCAGCCGCGTCATACCATGACGTTATATTGTAATAATTGTACTTATTGTTATACCGTTTAGCGCTAGACATTAAGGGGTTAAAACAAGGACTGGTCGGCTCGGAGTTCCTGTGTTGAGGCATGGCGTTGTTAACATTTTATGTCTGTTTCAGTTAATTTCTGCAGCGGTAACACGGGAACATCTTATTGAATTGGAACCCCGTGAAAATCCGAGTTAGAATTGTCTTAAGCAATCCATGCTGTCGTAAGAGGTGACTAACGGGATCAGGTGGTCAGGCTCGTTGAACCCGACTGATGCATGTCATCGTATCCAAGTTGCGTAGATCACTGCTTATGATGTGAATCACTGGATTGTCTGGTCCAGACTCGATTATTTACAGACCGCCGTCATATAGCTGGAATATTGCCGAGTGCGGCATTAAACAGCAGAGAAAGAAACAAAATATTTATTTATTTTACAGCCGCTTCGACGACTTTTGTTTTGTTTGTTTGTTGTTTAACGCCGCACTCAGCAATATCACAGCTATATGACGGCAGTCCGAAAATAATCGAGTCTGGACAGGACATTCCAGTGATTGACATCATGACCATCGATCCTCGCAATTGGGATACGATGACATGCATCAATCAAGTCAGCGAGTCTGACCAACCGATCCCGTTAGTCGCCTCTTACGACAAGCATGGTCGCCTTTTACAGCAAGCATGGGTTGGTGAAGACCTATTCTACCCTAAGTCTTCACAGGTCTTCGACGGCTTAATGTGCGGGACTCGCGGGGCGTCTTATTGTGTCTTTATTTATATACTGGTTGTATTATTTATACGATATTTGTATTAATAATGATATTATTTTTCTTATTTATGACTTGACCTAGCAAGGGATATTAAACGATGGGTCGCTTACAATGAAAAGAAAACAACCGCAATTAGGCACCGGTATTCTTATTAAATCGTCACTTCATTTTGGTCGACACTGTACCCATCAGTAGGTAAAGGACCATTGACCTGCATATAGGGTCATCATTTCATATTCTGGCGCGGGGGTGGGGGTGGGGGTGGGGGTGGGGGTGTATTTGTCTGGAGATGAGACAGTTCTTTCAGCTACAGCAGCAGCGCCACATATAGTTTTAATGACGACTAAGAGCCTGATTATTTTTTAGGAAAATCACCTTGCAAGTATTTTCTTCTTTTTCGATAGTCTAAGGCATAATTATTTTTTTCAAGAATTTTCTGTGACATTTGATTTTTTTCGATAAATTCCCAGGTTCACCCAGGAATATCAAATGATCGGTCCTTACGAGTCCGTCGAAATCGGTGGAGTGAGTGAGTATGGTTTTACGCCGCTTTTAGCAATATTCCAGCAATATCACGGCGGGGACACCAGAAATGGGCTCGAAATCGGTGGAAGGTGATGTGAAACGCTTAACATTTGACATGAAAAGGCAGGAAAGTTGAACCCTATTCTCATTTCAACATAAGTACGGAAACACAAACAATTTTTTTGTTTTATAATCCTGCATAGCGAAGGGCATCAGATCGGCTCTTGTCTTATGCATATATACACATATTCACAATTAATATGAACAGATTGTGAGGAAAATACATCATTTCATGATAAGGAAGAGAATATATGGATGTCAACTTCTTTATTATGAGGGACACAACGTTTCGGAGTATATGCTTACTCCTTCATCAGGTGAATGGATATGCACCGAAACGTTGTGTTTCTCATAGTAAAAAAGTTTACATCCATATATTCTCTTCCTGTTGTGTATCACTTCTAAATGCCTTTCAAAGACATCATTTTATGATAATTTGTATGTCTAATTGCTTTACATAAAGCTCATTCGTGGAACAATTTAACGTTAACTGGCGTCTTCTTGGGATAAGATGTTCCATGTATGATGTATAGTCATATGTGAGTTTGTTTGTTTGTTTCCAGATATATGACAGCGGTCTGTAAATAATCGAGTCTGGACCAGACAATCCAGTGATAGACATCATAAGCATTGATCTACGCAATTGGGATACGATGACATGCATCAACCGGGTTCAACGAGCCTGACCACCTGATCCCGTTAGTCACCTCTTACGACAGCATGGATTGCTTAAGACAATTCTAACTCGGATTTTGACGGGGTTCCAATTCAATAAGATGTTCACGTGTTACAGCTGCAGAAATTAATTGAAACAGACATAAAATGTTAACAACGCGATGCCTTAACACAGGAAGTTCGAAATAATTCCCCCCCACTCATCCCCGGTTTGTTTGTTTGTTGTTTAACGCCCCACTCCAGCTATAAGACGGCGGTCTGTAAATAATCGAGTCTGGACCAGAGAATCCAGTTATTGACGTCATGAGCATCGACCTACGCAATTGGGATACGATGAAATGTATCAACCAACTCAGCTAGCCTGACCACCCGATCCCGTTAGTCGCCTCTTACGACATGCAGTCACCTCTTACATGCATGGGTTGCTGAAGACCTTTTCGACTCTGGATCTGCACATCTCCGGCGGCAGATTGCTACTACTCTTGGCTTGTAACTCATGTCTAGCAGTACAAGATATAGTTTTGAAAACATTGCATCATAAGATAAGTGGGGGGTAATTTTTTGGAAAAGATGAGGTGAGGCGTTCAAAAATACTGCACTTATGTAGCAAAGTGCATGCATGTGCGTTTTGTGCGTAGTAAAGTCAGTTTTATAGTGCATGCTCAATGATATACCATGCCATAGTGACTCCGAGCCGACCAGTCCTTGTTTTATCCCCTTAATGTCTAGCGCTAAACAGGGTATAACAATAAGTACAATAATATAACGTCGACGTCATGGTATGACGCGGCTGAATGATCAAACCACCGACCTTTCGCCCACCAGGCAGACGCTCTATCCACTAGACCACGGAAGCGGTCTGCGGAAAGGTAAAATCACTTACCATTGAAGTATAAGAAGTGATAGCAATGTACATCAGTGTCATAATCTTATCGCAATTTATGTGCTCAGTATTTGTTTAAGTGTTATATGAGTGAGTGAGTGAGTTGGGTTTAACGCCGTGACATCAGTGACAAAAATGATGTCAAATGCAATTCCCTATTTTGTCATGTACCATATGTCCCCGTGTTATTCCAGGTGAACATTTGACATGCCTTTGCATGTGTTTGTGACGGGTGCCGCCAGTGGGGCAGGATACGCTTACCTTTTGGCGAACACCTGGTGTAATTACTATTTGATAGTGATTCATAAACACATGCTCATGATATAGTCGGAATCATACAGTCGACTCGTGTGAAGCCCATTTCTGGTGTCCCCCGCCGTGATATTGCTGGAATATTGCTAAAAGCGGCGTAAAACCACACTCACTCACTCACTACAGTCGATTCCGTTTTTTTGCAGAGATTTCCTCTGACTGTGGCAAGGACTTTGTCGCTTTTAGTTATTTTATAACGTCCTCATACTAGGTAATCTGTCATGTTGTCATGGCAACAACGTGACTTTGCCCAATCAATAAAACGTGTTGCTTGTATCAGATGCATATAAACACAACAAAAAACGTGAACCTTTGATATAGTTTATCGTTTTATTTCCGTGTTACAGTGTCTGACCAAACAGACCCCAGACGACTGTATGGAGGCCCAGGAGGGACACGCTGACCAGGTGCATGCAGGCGCCACTCCGGGGTGTAAGAACGGGCACCATGAGACACGTGCAGTTGTTGGCGCCCAGCGGGTACACGGGTGCATCAGCACATTGCTGGCAGCAGACCGTCACTCCGTTCAGTGAGCTGGTACGCTGGCACGAATCACACTGAGTTTGTCGCCAGCAGGGGACATGGTGCCCTGGAAATAGCAGGAATTCCACTGCTAAAATACTAGTATATGTTTAGATCCTATAAACTACTTTAGTGGCTTGAACATGTTGAACAATTTGTTTAAAATCTAAACAAGTTCGGATGTAAGTAATCATTTTCAAAATGTTTTCAAGATGGCCATATTTAGAATAAATTCCAATCGCACAGTGCTGCTTTGCGATGTCAATTAGTAATCACATACCTTTTTATTCAACAGTGGTTGATGCTAGGTAGGGCAGGACATGTTTAACCGTTTCGTGAACACCTGGTGTTATCATTCATTTTCAGTGATCCTATATTTTTTACCGCTGTTTTATCTGTTATGGTCAATGTAAACTGTTTCGTCGCATAATCGAGTCTGCTTATTATCTGATTTTTTATTTACTGAAATACTGTTCAAAGTGGTGTTAGCCAAACTCTCTCACTCACCAACTCAAGGACCTTCATGAATTTGACACAAGTGATACGACACCCATCTACTCTAAACATTGTAACGTACTTCCTGTTGCCTCGCGAGATGGTGATACTATTGAATTTTATTACCAAGTCAGTTCAGACCATGAATATGAGTTGGGAATATGCTTAGATGTTAAACACATTGCTAAACGTGTTTAGGACACACAAATTGAAATCCTAGATCATTTCATGGTTTTGTTTCTTTCAGGATTAAAACAGAACCCTTAAAACGTTTAGAGTTCAATATATTTAGTTCGTATTTTATCCCTAAAAACATTTTTACAGTGTATCCGGGGAAGTTTAAATGTACGCTGACTCATGCTGACATTCCTTCACCTGAGACAGATGTTGCTCAAATCGAAATAATTTACCAACGTATACAGAAGTTTGACTTACCTTCATCTCCAAGTGTTTGTGTGTATGTACGAGTGTTAGGTCACCTGACCGCGACATTGACGTTCATAAGTGTATGAACGACACAATTTGATGTTCATACGTTTTTCACGTGACCATGTTCTTGAAATGACGTAAACACCGACGGACTACTTCCACATTCCTGGGGAAACCCCTGGGAATTCCCCAGCACGAATACATACAGAAGCGTTCTTTCTGATCATTTAGACCCTTTAATCTTGAACTCAGCGTTTTACAATACATTGAGAAACGTTAGAGTTTGACTGCACGATCGTTCACGAATATTCTCGCTACGACCCATCCTAGTGAACAAAACGAAGAAATACACTTCCAAACTGTGGTAGTATCGACTCGATCTGTGTCTAGGCTGGCAGTGACTGTCTCCAGTAATCTATGACTTTACCTTTGTGTCTATTTGACACATCTTTAATCACCTTTCAATGATCGGCCAATTGATCAATGATGACTAAACCATATAACCGCCATTGGTTCATTAACAACTCCCGAAATCTCTCCCGTCACGTTTATGGTGTCTGCCATTTTGTACTTAATGTAAGTGTACGACGACGCGCTGTCATCGTGACTGACTTACTGAGGTTGTTCTTAACAGACCTTTCTAATCTAATGGTGATATTATTTGAATACATGTGTTGCGTAAGATAGTTTCTGAAGAGCAAGTTGTGCATCCATACGCTCATGTCACCTCTCTTTTTGAGGAACTATTTTACTCCGCGATATAGCTGGTTGTTGTATGGCCGTGAGTGTAAACATGAAGTCCCACGTACTAAATAAAATTGTGTTTAGATCTTGGCCTACACCCTTTGGTTAAGAAATTGTGATAAAAATTATAAGAACTGACCTTCACTTTGTGTGAGTTCATTGGAGTATGAACCTTCACAGAGTAAGGGCCAAACAATGGATGACGTCATACAATAAATGATGTCATAATACAATGGATGACGTCATACAATAAATGATGTCATAATACAATGGATGGCGCCTTATGCGTCCATTAGATCTTGATCCCTTTCGAAATGTTGCTCAAGAAAGTGTTCTATAATAATAACACAGATAGCCACATTAAAGTAAACTTCAGTAATTGCTTCTGAATAGATGATATGTATAGAAAATTGAATCAAGTGATGCTTACTGTCTTGTCCGTCAGCGGTCATCCCGGAGAGAGCCAGAATGGCGAATAACACAGCTGCGGGGGACATGTTCAGGGTTTGAGGAGACAAGTACACACGGAGAATGTTGAATCAGCTCTTCTTCTGTCCAACAAGGGCTAAACATTAACAGAAAAATGTAGGTACTCACAACGCAATGGACAGGTGCATCATGGTCTGAACTGGTTGCTTTGGGGTATTTTGTAAAATGTGTTTGCAAAAAATATATTAAACTAAATATAAGATCATACATACATTAGTATACAGATTATCATACACCCATGTCAGAATGATGAGAATGATGAGATCTGATAAAACACTGTGTAACCCGCATTGGAGGGTAATACATTTCTCAGCGGGGGAATAAATCCCTTATACCCCGCCACGAGCAATATAGGCTGCACGTTCATTTCTGAGAGACAGAATAAATCCTTTATACCCCGCTTCAAAGCAAAACTTTTTCGAGTCTATGGAAGTCACGTGACATAGCGCAAGCTAATCCCAGCTCAATCGAGCAGCTGTTTCCTATCAATTTTGAATTTATTTGAATTATTTTACAGTGTCATATTAAAACATGTGGGTAAGATAAATTCGTTGTAGCAAGATCGCTCGGGGTACCTGGGGTTTTATACGTCTTCAGTAGGTTTTATACCACTCGCCTCCGTGATCCTGCATTTCTGTTGTGAATTTCATTTACCATTTAAATAACCACAATGCTCTTCACATAGTCCCTTCTTCATATTCGGGGATAAATCATTTTAAATATTTAAGTAAATCGATTAATACACACTTTTCACAACTTCGCTGTCAACGTCCAATCACAGATAGTTACATATCTTCACGTTGTTAAAACAGTAATATACATTGAATAGCTACAAAGATGCTCAGTACTGTAGAATCTGCCGAATCAGATTCAAGATAGTGCCACAGTACTGTAGCCTACTTGGATATGAAGTCATCAGTTAAAAATGTCAACAAATTCAGACATTATATGAACGTTTATGTCAGCGTTGTTATCGAGAATCTCACCCGAGTGTCTTTTGATGTCAAATCTATCAACACGAGTTGATAAAACTGGAAAACCTCCGAGGCTTGGCAAGGTGTTTTTTTTAACTTTTATCAACGAGTGTTGATATATACTCTTCAAAAGAAAAGAAACAATACGGATATTTTTGGCCATAAAGCCAAAGATTAGCGGACCAAGAGGTGCAACATGAAGACTGAGGTTTTATGTGTTATAGTGTCAGTGACAAATGTCCCCGATCAAAATGATCACAACAAGGACATGCAAACCATTAGTCGGGAAACACGTACGATTCGGAAAAACGCACCCAGTGCATCAACAAAAGGGCCATGGAGCTCCACGTACTGCACGTGCAGCAGCACTATGAACGGTATTAAAGTGCAGGTTTTTTATTGCCTGGCATCTGCGTCAATCGAACAGTCACAGTTCAACAACATGCCAAGATTCACAGCAGTGCAAAGAAACAGCCTGATAGGTCGCTTGCAGGCAGGGGAATCCCGATCAGCTGTAGCCAGGGTTTTCAATGTAGCGCCCAGGACAATCACACGACTATGGGATTGGTTTCAACAGCATGGGTTAACACGTGATCGGCCAAGCTCGGGACGACCAAGAGTAACCACCCCCGCCCAAGATCGCTACATCCGACTGCGCCACCATCGTAAAAGGACGACCACAGCCACCTCAACCGCATCACAAATACCCGGACTGCGCAGAATCTCCAACCAGACCATACGAAACCGTTTAAGAGCTTCAGGTCTATGAGCAAGACGTCCTCCGTCGAGGGGATGGAAGAGCAGGGTCTACAGACGTCGGGGAGAACGTTACGCCGGAAACTGCGTACAAGAAGTAGACAGGTTTGGTGGTGGTAGCGTTATGATGTGGGTGGCTATCTCTCATCATAGCAATACAGGTTTGGTCCATATCCAGGGCAATCTACCAGCTCAACGATCCATCAACGAAATTCTCCTACCACACGTCCTCCCAATTTCAACCATCGGCAACGGTGTATTCCAGCTGGACAACGCTCGACCGCATACAGCACGGATCACAAGAGCCTGTCTACACAACAAAAACGTTGATATTCTCCTCTGGCCCCCCAGATCCCCAGATTTGAACCCGACAGAGCACCCATGGGATGAATTGGATAGACGGCTACGTTGACGTCAACCACAATCCAAGACGTTGCAGCAGTTGGCCTTTGCGTTGCAGGCCGAGTGGGCTACCATTCCCCAGGATGTGATTCGCAAACTCGTCTCTTCAATGGGCAGGGGATGTAAACGATTCGATTCCAACGTGGGACATACGCGTTATTGATGGTAGCTGACCTTGACCTTGGACGTTTCCTATGTACTGATAACTGAGATGACTGCAATCACCAAGTGTTTTCTCCACAACATTTGGGTTCAATGCCTTGTACGTTCCTCGTATAAAAGTAATTTCCTACCTCACACAAATCATCTGGCTTTGCGTTTCTTCTTTTGAAGAGTATAATATCAACTCTGGTGTCTACATTTCCCCTTTATGCCGAACAATATACAACCAGCTCCAACTTCTGGTGTCTACATTCCCGCTATCACCGAAGTGGTAAACGTCTGAGACCTGCATCACTTCAGACTTCCCTCCCACATTAAGCTGACAAGCCGTGATATAACTGGAATTCTGTTAAAAACGGCGTTAAACCCAACTCACTCACTCACTCAATCTCATGAGGCAACAATGTTCAGTCAGATGAATGAATTTTAAGCGATTATAGGAACATGGTCTAAACACAAAGATCAACATTTAATGTATCGCGAAAACTGAGGCTACTAACTACACGTATACGAAGTTTAATTACATTTTGGAAGCAGAGAATAAGGGATATAAGAAGTTTCACTCTTAAGTACGGTCAAAGTTCAGAGGTAACATCGAGGTCGAAATTTAAAATATCGTACAAAAACGGAAAATGTACAGTGAGCTTAACAACAAACTATACATTAAACCAAATGTCATGAAACATTCCATGAAAAGTCTAACACAAACATAGAGTAATGGCCATAAATAGCGGTTTCAATATGGTTACCTTGTACAAATTGGGTTGTCATCACTTGTGTGAAGAAGAATGTGAGAAACTATAAACAACGGGCGAAGGACAAACAGTCCATGACTTAAGCTCTCTAGGCGCTCGGTCAGGTGAGCTAATACTGCACCAGGTGAGGTTATACTGCACCAGGTGAGCTAATACTGCCCCAGGTGAGCTAATACTGCCCCAGGTGAGCTAATACTGCACCAGGTGAGCTAATACTGCACCAGGTGAGCTAATGCTGTACAAGAGGAGCACCGGAACAATGCCACGTTACTGGTCCCAACTGTTTCGTTTGTCCTTATCGACCAGTGAAGTTCCGGGGTAGAATACACTACATTTCATAAGTAACTTCCCCTATTTTCGCGAAAATTTTCTCGCCACTATTGCGGCACTAACGCGGAATTATCGCGCCACCTTTGAGCCATTAACGCGAAACTATCGCGCCACTTTCGAGACACTTTCGCGCCATTTTCGCGATAACATTTTACAAGATCGCGGCACTTTCGCGGCACTTTCGCGGCACTTTCACGGCACTATCGCGCCACTTTCACGCCACTATCGCGACACTTTCGAGACAGAATATTCACGCTATCTTGTGACAGTTGTGCTAAATGTACGGTACAATATATTGTATTACTTTTTTCCTTGACTGATTTTTAGTTACGTTTTCCATGGCATGCTACTCTGCATTATTTAAGATCATAGTGTAAAGCTTCTTTTCCTTTTACCATTACCGATATCTATACTTTATTTAGACTGCAAATGTAAGGTGATCTTGTGGTCATGACTCCAATCACAAATACATGTACTCGTACACACATTAGCTGAGGTGATTTTCACGGTAACAAATAAGATAGAACAGAATCAAACACTATCATGTGTCGGCCAAAATGACCGTCAGGAAACCTCATAACCAACTAATGTTTTGTGCATGTCTAGTATCCCATAATGTTTCGTGATAAGTTTCATTCTGAATATAATGTGAAATAGTCTGGACAAAATCGTTTGGTTATTAAAGATTTCCTATGGTAAACGAAGTCCTTCACAAATATTACGTCGTTAGGTATTTGTATTACACAGTGACTTGTTCTTTATTTGTGGACGACTATTAACATTGTAAAAGAATACGCTTTTTATTGGAAACAAAATAAACAAAACCATTTCCATAATTTACTTCTTTTCCATTCCATTCCGACTATATCATAAGCATGTGTTAATGAATCATACTCATGAATCAGGTTAGAGCGTATCCACCACAAACACATGCAAATGCAAGTCAGGTATTTGCAAGTCAAAGACATACATGTACAGTTACCACATTGAAATAACACAACTTTATACGAAGCTTCTAAAATAAACTTAGGGAAGAGCTGGTTTCGTGTTTTAGAGGAAGACACTAGAATACACATGTATGTATTTACATAGACTTATCAGGCTGATTATAACTAGATTTGATTGGGAAATTTTAATCAATTTTTTTTTCAAGTACATTTCTTAGAATTGATGAGAGAATGTAAATCTTCCATGAACTGCTATTTGAGCGTCTTCAGGATTTATAACATGGTGCCCCGATTTTGATTTCAGTGGGGGGCACGGGTGGCCGAGTCGTCTTAGGCGTTGCGATTCGCTGTGCATAGTTGCGTCCCTTGGGCACGCCAGAAACCTATGATTGTGGGTTCGAAACCCGGTTCGCCGCAATTAAGTTTCTAGGTTTGTCAGCACCATACCCGTGCTCGTGGGGTTCACCGAAATGGTAAACGTCTGAGACCTGCATCACTTCAGGCTTTCCTCCCACATTAAGCTGACACGCCGTGATATAACTTGAATACTGTTAAATGGGCAATTACCTAAAGCAATTCCCCGAGAGTTGTTGCCTTTGTTATTGTTTTTCCCCGTGAGTACCCGGATGATATAGCAGAGATCTAGACTAGTTCGCGGCCTGTGCTGCGCCATTCGTAAGCGCAGTTGTCACTTTAATTGACAGTATAAGGGCGTATGGTCACATTTATCAACAAAATGAAATACAGTTT